AGCAGATAGACTGATTTGTGTTGCCAGTATGATTATTGACATTGACCTAATCGCATATCCCCACACGTAATTAGCTTTGGAAATGTTTGGGTAGTTTTTTTCTTTTATGAGAGAAGTTGGAGGGATTGTAATTGTAAGCATAGTTGTATTGACGAAAAGCATATTTTGCCTTTGATATTATGCGGGAGAATGGAATTGTTTTGAGGCTATAGAAACACCACTGGCTTTTTCTTGTATTTTTAATAAGGTTGTATTCTTCTAGGACAAATTGTAATAGTTTGGTCCTACATGCCATATGTGTGATGCAGTTTCATTCTCAGTTTTATGTGACTTTTTGTAGAAGATGGAATGTTATTTCTCCTTAGCCTCTATTATTTTGTTAATCCACTCTTTGCAGCAAGTATCTGAGTTTGATCTGTTTACACTGGATGATATTGATTCGGTGTTCCAAAGTATTACCAGATTGACCTATTCTCAGAATTATTATATGTCTGGTAAGTTCCTTTTCTTCTTTGCTATGTTTTCTGAATTTCAGAAAGGAGAGTTTAGTCTGCTCGAGCATTTTTCTTTTCTGGAGGCAAAGGAGAGCTTTTTTTTTTTTATTTTTTATTTGTCGCGATATATTAGTAATCGTTGCCCATTTGATGTCCTCAAAGTCTCTGTCTGTGCGGACACTCAATCAAGTTAACCAACACCGTAAGCTTCAAATATTGCTGCAAAATTTTGCATCCATAAACATGTATTCTGAATTCTGACTCTCCATGCATTTTTCCATGCTGAATTCTGATTTTTTTCCATTATCTTGGACTACACCTGTCAGCATACTATTCTACCATAGAAGCTTTTCATTGCAGGTGAATCTTACTGATCTGAAGGAGCATCGTCTTCTGCGTGACTTATATCTTAATCCTATCTTTTCAGTGATGCTATGTTTTTCTTGTGACTAACCCTAGGAAATGGAGAAGGAATAGTTATTGCCCCCCATGCAGCTGGTCACCTTTTAGGGGGGACAGTTTGGAAAATAACCAAAGACGGGGAGGATGTTATTTATGCTGTTGACTTTAATCATCGAAAAGAAAGGTGATCTGGTCAATTAGCCCTAGAGTGTGTTCATTTATGGATAGGATAGAAACTAATATATTCTTGACTTGTTTCGATCAGACATTTGAATGGAACAGTTTTAGAGTCTTTTGTGCGCCCTGCAGTTCTGATAACAGATGCATACAATGCTTTACTGAGTAATCAGCCTCCAAGACGTCAAAAGGACCAACAATTTTTAGGTAAATATTATGATAAAAGTTGATCATTGCTTTAATTGATTACAAATTTGTAACTTTTCCATTTGGGGAGTCAGTTGATGCATTAGCTTTATAGTTTTAGTGGCACGTCTTCTTTATATTTGAGCTTTGTCAATCAAAATTTCTAGCTTCTCAGTTATGAAAGATCATTGTCACCAGCACCTTCCTCTTTTAGCTATTGCTTTCTCATTTAGAATTTTGTTCTTCATTGCAGAAACGAGAAATTTCCCAAAATCTTGTCTTGTTTTCATTGGCTCCGTGGAATATAGATCTAGTCATCCTCATCCTTATTCGTGTGACATTAGATGAATTTAGATTTTCTTCAGCAAGACAAATATCTGTTCTTATTCTTGTTCACTGTAGAGGTCATCCTGAAGACGTTGAGAGCTGACGGAAAAGTATTAATTCCATTGGATACTGCTGGTCGTGTGTTAGAGCTCCTATTGATACTGGAACAGGTAAGTGGAACCTTCCAACGACATTTTCCGTCTTTCAGTAATTTTTTATCCATAGGTTATGTTCACTTTCAAATAAAACTTGCAGTATTGGAACCAGGAAGAAGTGATGTATCCTATCTTCTTCTTGACATATGTTTCATCAAGCACGATTGACTTTGCGAAGAGTTTACTTGAGTGGATGAGTGACTCAGTTGCGAAATCATTCGAGAACACACGGGATAATGCCTTTTTCCTGAAGTAAGACATTTCAGCAATAGGAAATAAATATCTGTCTGACATGTTCATTGTGATTTGCCTCTTTTACATATTGCCTACTCACATATTATCTTTTGCATGTGGGCTGAGTTCCTTAGAATATTGTCATCAAGGTTTTATCTAAGAACAAATTCGATATGAAATCTGGCCTTTTCAGTAGCACTTGTCTTACTCGTATATGATTTCCTATATGAGCTTTCTCATTGCTGCAGTGTTATATATTTTGTAACTTGGACCTATTTGAACCAAAAAATTGCAGTCATGTAAAACTATTGGTCGACAAGAGTGAGCTTGAAGCATGTCCTGATGGCCCAAAGGTTAGGATGCCTTGTCACGTTATTTGATCACTTATGCGTTAACTCTGTTGATATTCTTGTTTACGACTTTGTTGGCATGTTTTGATCAGGTTGTCTTAGCATCCATGGGAAGCTTAGAGGTTGGATTTTCCCATGATATTTTTGTTGAATGGGCTGCTGACCCGAAGAACCTTGTACTTTTTACTGAGAGAGCCCAGGTTTGCTTTGAATCTTATTGATGAGCCTGCTAGTGATTTAACAGTACTGTACTCCAGATATTGCGATTGAAGATCATAGCATCAGTTAAATTGGTTTGGCACTTCAAATGGCATATTCACAAAATCACGATTAACTCCTAGGCGTGCTGTTGGTCTAGAAAGTATGATAGTTTTCTTATTAAGTGTATTTATGTTTGAGTTTTTTATACACTAGTGCATGCTTTATTATGCTCGGAGTGACTTGCCATATATGCCATTCATAATTTGGTCTTTGACTTTTTGCATTCATTATTCTTTTTTTCTTTGTTCTTTATGGTTCTGCTAGTAAAATGATGCCTTTTTTTATGCACATTATAATTTTCTAGTCAAATTAGTTTCTTTTACCTTATTGTGGAACTGTGGGAGCCTTATTTACCTTAACATATGTCACATGCTGATTTGTTCATACTTTAGTTTGGCACGTTAGCACGAATGCTTCAGTCAGATCCTCCTCCCAAAGCTGTTAAGGTTACCATGTCTAAGAGAATCCCATTGGCCGGGGAGGAGTTGGCTGCTTATGAGGAAGAACAAAACCGGAAAAGAAAAGAAGAAGCTCTTAAGGCTGCACTAATCAAAGAGGAAGAAGCAAAAGCCTCGCTTGGTGCGGACCTTGCTGTAGTTGACCCCATGATACTTGATGCTAACATCAATCAAGCTTCTTCAAATGGTATTCGCAAAACTCTTCATTCCACTTGCTAAATGCATGTTTTGCTTTTCTTCTGTTGTGACATTTAAGTACAAAAATGTGCTTACTGCATCTCTTAAACTTTTGTCACTTTTTGATGTCAAAGAAAATTTCAGTTTAGTACTCATCAACACTTTCCTCGAAATGAAAAACCTGAATAATATTATTAGCCCAGTAAGAAATAAATCCACATTCATTCAACCCTTAACTGGTGGGCGTCTTGGATTTGACTCTCGACTGAGATATCACGACTAATAATGGTGATCTAGACATTAGCATAACTATAATCTTGTCACCAAAACAAATTGTTTATATTCTTGTAGGATTGAAATCAACATCTTAATCACAAATAAATTGGTTTAAGAGGTTATAAAAATATTAATGATCTGCAATATTTATAACTTCTTCCATTTAGTATCCTTAGAATCCATAAAGTCTCATTGAATTAACTTCAACTGTTCAAAAGCCATTGCGTTGCATTGAAAGGCCTCTAAGTTATGTGATTTCAGTGTTTAATTTGATCCATTAAATACTATGAAAATCTTTTGTATATTGTAGATAATGAAATAACCCTGTTCGCCATGTTTGCTTTCAAAGCATAAAAGGTAGTCATATAATTGTTGTGTTTGTTCCTGAGATGTGTAGACCATGGCAAGATGGTACTTCTGTCTTGTAGTGATGTTACCTTTTTTCATCCTTGCAGGTGCTGGTTCGCAACATGGAGCATTCAAGGATGTTTTCATTGATGGATTTGTTCCATCATCATCTACTGCGGGCCCCATGTTCCCCTTTTATGATGATTCCTCCGAATGGGATGATTTTGGCGAAGTCATCAACCCTGATGATTATACAATCAATGATGAAGACATGGGTCACGGATCAATGCCAGTGAGTTTCTGTTGTATATATTTTCTACCTTGTGCTTTCAATCTTACGATCTTGTACTTCTCTTTAGGGCTACAGATATTTTAGGAAAAGCTAATGATAAAACTTATTTTAGAGTCCTGAATTGAATCTCCAGGCGATGTCCAATGTAATCAGTGAAGGCTGATGCTGATGATATTTATTAAAACAAAAATTGGCATAGCTATATGCCCACAATTTCCTAGGACATTAGATGCTAATCCAATGTATTTATCAGGTGCTTGCTTAACTATACATCATAGGATTTTGCTTGATGGGTTTTGTTGATAGGGAATTACTGATTTGATAATAATGGAGTTCTGAGCTATGCTTAGTTGTTTAGTGGGTTTATGGAATGAATCTAATTGTTAGTAGAATGTGACAAACCTTCTAAAGATCTGGAGATGGAATCATGACTTCAAAGAAGTGTCTTATTAGAGAAATGAATAGTGTTCTATCATATGTATTTCACGTACAACAAAGTGTGCACTCTGAAGTTGAAAGATTAATTAGACATGGGATAACTACAAAAAGGTTTTACTAACCAATGTTCGTTTCAAAGAAGGAAGCCCATGCTTGTGTAGATGTTATGCATTTGTAGTTTACAAGCAAAAACTGCAAAATACTATTTACTCCAAATGTTTATGAGGGGCACATGTTGCTGGTGTTTTTGGTTGTAGGTTGACGGCCGTCTCAATGGGAACCTTGATGAAGCAGCTCCCAATTTGATACTTGATACAACACCATCGAAAGTAGTATCTTCAGAGCAAACAGTATGTTTAACTTCCTTCTATAATGCCTGCAAGTATGCTTGTTCTGGCTAATTTTGTTAATTGTTTGGCACCTAACCGTATATTACAATTTTTTTTTTTTCATTAATACTAGCTCGCGAGTAAAATAAGATAGTAAAGAACCTACTGTAAGACATGAAAACAAAGTAGCTGAAAAATCATGCTTAAGGTTAAACCAGTGAAGTATGTTATCTATCCCCCATGTCGATGATGAAATTTGAGAAAGTCAAATTTAACACTTTATATTGACTTCTGTTCAATCTCTCTTTTGCTGTCCATGATTTTCCCACAACTGGTACTTTAAACTGTCCTTTTCAAGCCTCCATTTATTGAAGTTTAAATTAATCATGTGGATACTGACTCCAGATGCCTTGTAAAATGTCACACTGGACCTGTATGTCTTATCTATCTTAATTTCGGCATTTGCTTGTCTAAACTCTTTTCAAATTTCGTTCAAATCTCTTATTCCTTTCATTTTGATGCTTCCTCTGGTTCAGGTCCATGTCAAGTGTTCATTGATCTATATGGACTTTGAAGGCCGTTCTGATGGCAGCTCAATCAAGAAGATTCTAGGCCATGTTGCCCCTTTAAAGCTTGTGAGCTCTTCCTTTCTGGTTTTTTGTATCATAATACTGTTTTGTCTCTTAAATTGGTGTATTATATGTTCATTGCAAACTTACCACTGATATAGTCAGTGTATTGCTTGAGCTTTTAGAATATCGCTTAACCACACATAGTGACTAGGGACTGGTTGCAGTTGTAATCTTCAATACGTATTTTATATTTACTTTGATTGCATGCTAGATTTGCCCAGTGTTGTTTACATCTGGTGGTTTACGTGTTATTGCATTTGCATCGATTCTGAGGGTTTACCCATGACCACTCTCTGCAGATTCCCTAATTATCAGCACACCCTCCCTTCCAGATAAAACTAGAAAGAATAAAGAAACAAAAGGAACTTTTATGATTGAGGTTTTCTATCTTTTTTTGCTTTCAGCCGAGAATCGGGTCTTGGCCATTAGTAATTATTAATTATTTAGGAAGGAGGCAGTGTGTTGAGATACTGAGATCATTATGCTTCTAAATCTTATATTCAATTATTTATATCCCATGTCATTTTCTCCAGTAACCCCTGAAATCTTTTTGGATGTGCTGAAGAGTCTAATGCTGTAGAAATTAATTACATACAAATATTTTCTGCCTCTGCAGGTCTTGGTGCATGGATCGGCAGAAGCCACTGAGCATTTGAAGCAACACTGTTTGAAACATGTTTGTCCGCATGTATATGCTCCACAAATTGAAGAATCAATTGATGTCACATCAGATTTGTGCGCTTATAAAGTATGCTTTACGACACACCCAAAGTTCTGATCCACGATGCCTCTATAATCCAGGACTGATCATGTTATTTAATTTATCATGTAGGTTCAACTTTCTGAGAAATTGATGAGCAATGTTCTGTTTAAAAAGGTAATAATGTTTGGGTTGACAGAAGTTTTTTTGGCCTTCGTGTCGCCTTTCCACTTGGAAATGGAGAAACTATAAGTTGACTGAATATACTACTGAGTCATAAGCATGTATAGTCTTGGCAGTTAAAACGGTATGTTTGGTCAAAGGCTTATCAGTTGGTGTATAGACTAGAACAATGTTAATATGTGCTGGACATTACCTGCTGTACCAATATATGGTTAAAGAGTTAATCACAATAACTACCCTTGATCTTTAGCCTTTACATGTCTGTCTTCCCAAATTATAAACACACAAGTGCCTTGTTAAGGTTTGTACTTGCCTAACAAATATCCTTCTCCCGCGGGTAAATGGTAAAAAGGAGAAAGAAATGCCAATGAAATGTTTGAACTTTGAACTAACCTTTGATGTGGTTAAATGATTGCAAAAACATGTGGCACTGTGCTAAAATCTGTTGAGTTGACCACATATGTTCTTCCCTACTAAAGTCAAGTTAAAAGTTGTCTAGCAAACTAACGTGACTGTGTGCTCTCCTATTTTCTTTTATGCTGCTCATACACGTATTGGTTTCTTGTTATATAGCTCGGGGATTACGAAATAGCCTGGATTGATGCTGAAGTAGGAAAGACAGAAAATGGCACACTATCTTTGCTTCCCTTTTCAAATCCTCCACCACCACCACATAAGACAGTCTTGGTAGGGGACCTAAAAATGGCCAATTTCAAGCAATACCTAGCAAGCAAGGGGATCCAGGTATTTCAACCTGTTTCTGCTTTAACTTTAAGCAAGATTATTTGTCCATAGTCCCTCTTGCATCTGCTTGTATTTTCTGCATGAATGTTTTTCTTTTACAAATTACACATCATGGTGCATATGCCTGATTTATAAGGAAAGAGATCTTATTGTTATCTTGGAATAGAGCTAAATATCATGGAAGAAATTGTGATTTCGAAAAACAAATTAAACACGGGTTTATTGACTGCCAGGTGGAATTTGCGGGTGGAGCCTTGCGTTGTGGTGAGTATGTCACTATAAGGAAAGTCGGAGATTCGAGCCAAAAGGTAAGTGTTGTCCGATTGTAATTTCATTCATTCAATAGCCATGCATTTAATCCCCTTTTCGAGCTGAATGATTTTAATGTTCTTTTGTTTGTCCAACTTCGTGTGTTGTTTGGGATAAGGGTGGTGGCACCATCCAACACATCATTCTTGAAGGTCCCTTGTCGGAAGAGTATTATAATATTCGCGATCATTTGTATTCACAGTTTTACTCGCTTTAAGACGGTTGATCGGCCGATACTCTCTCAAGGAATGCATGCAACACATAACTAACTAATCGTGTATGATGTTTTGGTCTCATTTCACTAGTTGCAACCCATTGTTCCTGTTGTGATCATTGTCTTGTCTGGTGCACACGTTAGCTTAGTTGCCTAACATTTTTGTCTCGGTGAGTTTGATACCTGAACGTGATGTAACGTGGTTTGTCTTACGAGAGCTTGTTAACCTTTTAAATATTTATTTATCTATTTTTGTTTATAGAATAACAAACCACGGTTAGATCTATTCCAGGCTGGCCTCGGATATGCACATTTTCTCATATTAAAAATATAAAAGGCAGAATTTGTTATTTAACAATCTATATAACTGAATAGTTATTTCATAATTGAAGTGATAATAGTAATCGGGTGTTAATCAATATGATATTCATGATAATATGTAAGAAATTTTGGTAGGGGTGGGAACGGTTCGGTTTTTATAAATTGAGAACTTAATGTTATAGAATAACAACTTGTTATAAATTGAGAACTTAATGTTATAGAATAACAACTTGAGAACAAATGGACGTAGAATTTACATAATTCAAATTGAGAATATTTTTTATCATTTTTTAATATGCAGCATTAAATTTCAAAATTTGAGTAATATTTTGAGAACTTATGAGATTTGAAACTTATTTTGGAGGACTTTTAAGAAATTTTAAGTCCGGAAGTCATATTTTGAGTGTGATTTGGATATGGTTTTTTTTTTGAAATCTCAGTAAATTTTATAAAGTTTTAATAAATATCAGTGTCAAATAAGTTAAATGTCTCATGATTTTGTAAGACTTTTTAAAATATATCTTGAGATTTTAAAAGTTTTAAAAAATCTAAATTAAATATACAAAACTTCCTAAAGTTTTAAACAATCTTTAGAAATTTTCTGGCTAAATATCAACGTTGTTAATCCAAATCAATAAGAAATTATTACAAAAGCTATTAATCAAAATCTATCACAAATGATTACAAATATGAAAATGGTGGCTAACGAACTTAGCTGAAAGTGCAAAACCCACTTAAAACCCCACACGTCTCACATGACTTGAAAATTAAACTTCACTCAACTATAAAGCACAGTTCCACTTTTCCCCATCTTTTGTAATCATTAACAATGCCACCTTACAATCACATATGCCCACTATATATATATATATATGGGTTAATTGGCGATTAAACCTTGACCTTTTAATTTTTGGCAATTTAATCCAACCTTTTGAATAATAGCAATCTAATACCAAGTTTGTCTCTAATTTGTCTCCGGGACTTAAAAATGGTCAGAGGGTCGATAGACGCCAGCGTCTCCGGCAAGATGTACCTACGTGGACTATTACATTTGCTGACCGGGCGAAAGTGAATTACGTGGATTTTCTGTAAAATCCAAGTATAAAACCCCGAAATCCTTGCTCAAAAGTCCCAAAACCCGATCGATCCTTCATCAAACTTCCCAATTTTTTCAAACCCTAATTTTCAAAAATTCTTTCCCAAAATCGATCGATACTCATCCATAATTTCGAGAAACTGAAATAAAAGATGTCTTTCTCTTCTCGCGGCAGTCAGAGCTCTGAAAATCGATCTCAAATTTCTTCGAAGCAGATATGCGGCGACCATAGAGAAGAGGTCGAAGTGTTCGCATCCATGACACCCGATAATCCGTGTAGAAGGTTTCAGAGGTGTCGATATGGGATAGTAAGCTATGTTAGTTTCATTGAACATAAATTCTTCAATTAAACCTAATTTTTCAAGAAATCCCTAATTTTTATAAGAACCCTAACTTTTCAAATTTCTGCATTTAGCAACCGGGTGACTGCGGTTTTTTCAATTGGATTGACCCTCCACTTACTGAGTACCAAAAAAAACATGTTTTTGCATTTGAAATCACAAAATAAGTCTTTGGAAGATCAGTTGAGACATAAGGTTTCACTGGAGAAGAAGCACATTTCGACCAAAACAGTGGAACAAGATGGGATATTTGACCATGCTGATGAGATCGAAAGAAAATTGGATGATGTTGTGGTCGAAATTCAGAAGATCAAAGAAGCCTTGTTGGTTTTGACAAATGGATCAACCCTCGTGAAGAAGTTAGAAAGGAAGAATAATTTTGGTTTTTTCATGTCATTAATTGTATTGATCTTTGTTGTTAGCTTTTTTTGGGAAGAATGGTGATGTTAAAGGCCATAAAATATTAATTTGAATGTCATTTTGTTGTGGTGTTTAGTCCCATTTTGTAATGTATTCAAGTTACTGAAGTAATGAAATTTGATTTTGTTATAATTTGTTTTGGTTTTGTGCTCATTTTATTTAAGCACAATAAGAATATTTCTTCAAACCATTTGTTCATTACAATCAGTATAACATCACCATAACTTAATGACAGTTATTAACTCACATTAATAGTGCATTGATCATTGAAAAAAAAAATTAACATAAAACCATAACCACATTTGTTCAGAACACAACAAATATAACAAACATAGGTAATGATTCAAACATTTGGTCAAAAGCATTACACCACATTGTTCTCCCACCAATATCCTCATCACCATTGACATTATGTTTGTTCAAAACACAATCCATAATTTAAACCACCATAATGTTTGAACAAAAGTCATCCAAACCTAATATCTGAAAAGTTAATCCAAAACACAACAAAATATCTGAAACACCCTTATGCTATTATCTCTTGCGAGAAACACTTTCTTGAGTTCCTGAAGCTTCTTCCCCTTGCCTCTGGGTCCCAGTCTTCTTCCTTATCTGCATTCTCCCCTTGCCTCTGGAGTTACTAGAACCACCACCTCTCTCAGAAATGACATGACTTCTTTGTGATGACAACTATATTTATGACAAATATAATATAAAGAATGAATCATTTAAAATTTGTAAATAGAAACATGATATTTTAAAATCAAAAAATAAAAGAAATTCAAGTGCCACTGGACAACAAGCTATAACAAATAACATATAAAAAATACAAAAAGATTTAATTTTTATTACCAGTGCTCTTTCTTTTACAGTCAAAGATGACTGTTGGCTTGACTGATTTTTGGAGGAGGATGCTTTTTCAACAGGTGTAGGTTGAGGTTGGGGACCACCAATCTTCCTGGGTCTCCCCTTTGGATTCTGTCAAAAAAATATAAAAACAATAATAGTTATGGTCAGTCCAAATCTCCAGGATTTTCTAACATGGTCAGTCCAAACAATAATAACTAAGATTTCTAACCTTGGTTGTTTTTCAACTCCAGGATTAGAACATGATTTATTATTGTGCCCTTTCTGAAGACAATTTTGACAAGTCATGGTCAGTCCAAATCTCCTCAACTTAGTCCCACAGTCCATTTTTTCCTCAGGAGCTCTCTTCCTTTTTTTTTTGGGCCTCCCTGGCATCTTTTGAAACTTAGGGGGTAGGATAGGGTAACCCTGGGCAACTGGCCACAATTTTCTCCCATTTATAGGTTCTAAAGAGAAGCTATACATTCTGAGATACCTTTTAAGTGAGTACCAGTCTGACACAAAGTCTGCAGGATCTTTATGTTGAAAATGTATAGCAGAACTAGCATGCACACAGGGTATGCCTGTAATATCCCAAAATCGGCAGCTACATGTCCTGTCCCTCAAGTTCACTACAAATTGGTCATCCTCATGCACAACCTCATATCTTTCGCCAACAACTGGTTTTGTCATACAGTGCCTAAACATATACTTATTGTGCTCGACCTTCTTTCTTATTCTAGAATAAATACTATCTGTATGCCCACTAAGTCCTAACAATTTATCATGTTGCCTTTTCATCAACTCACTTCTAATAAACTCAACCATATCAATAATGTGTTTGCTTCTACCCTTAAGAATCATTCCATTGAATGTCTCACTCACATTGTCCTCAATCATATCACATCTAGGCAATGAAGAAATATAAGCCTTACAGAACTTAGTGGGATCTCTGTCAAGAAAATCTTGATAAGCTTCTGGATCCCCAGACATCAAATCTTCCAAGTGTATGTTGTAGTCACCTAAGTGAGTACTGAGAACAATCTTCCAAAAAATGTTTTTAAGTGTGAGCCCCTTGAAAGTTTTCTTCCAGTTCATATATACATGCCTGGCATAGTTTCTTTGCTCAGCATGAGGGGCCAAATCTCTCAAAGCATTCAAGAGACCCTGCAAAAGGAAAATAATATATGAACAGGTTGGTCTCATATATATGAACATATTCAGAATTTTAGAATTTCAAACATGTATAGAAATAACTTAACTTTTGTTGGTTTGACATGAAAGTGAATCCACCACCATCATTAATGCCCAAATCAGTGAACAAAATAGTCAAATACCATCTCCAAGATTCCTCATTCTCTGTCTCTACAACTGCCCAAGCCACAGGGTATACTTGATTGTTGCCATCTTTTC